CTCGCAATTGATTACATTCTTCCCACAATGTGGCAGTTTTCAGTGAGTTTACATGTGAATGTAATGTTTGTACCAGTCTTGCTCTTCATATGTTATCAGGCGTGACCCCAACCTGTTGTTCAGCTTGCACTGGATTAAGACAGAATCTCCAAATCCATCGGGAAGGACAAGGGCAGCAGATACATGGGAACACTACCCCCTTGTAAGTTCCTCTTCAAGCCACTCACCATCTTGACTTGGAAATATATTGCCATTTGACCAGTGTCGCTGGGTCAAAATTCTGGAATTCCCTCCTTAACGGCACATTTGTACAGCACATAGGCTGCAGGAAGGCAGCTCAATGGGCAACTAGAGATGGTCCCATCCCATTGACAAGCTGCTGTAAGAAATGGGGTTGTGGTTTCATGGACTGTTTGGTGAGAAGTGGACACTACAGTTCACTGTTTCCCTCTCCCTCCAGCTCCTGTTACCATTCTTCAAAGGCCAATATAAACCAGGCTTGCTTGGGAGATCATTAACATCAGGGACCATCAGAATCAAAGCATCACAAATTGGTTACCTCACAGATGGAGGCCATTTGGTTCATCTCCTCCATGCTAGCTTACTGTATCAGCCTGTCCTGCATGTTAATCCTTTCCGTGCTGCCCTAAAACCGTTCTCTTCATGGTCTGATCTAATTCCTTTCTGAAAGCCCTGACTGAATCTCACTCCACCACAGTGTCAGTCTGTACGTGTACTTGATGGACAGAATGGCCTGCTTCCACACTGTAGGGATTCTATGAGGAAACCCTCCCTTTTTGACCCATAACCAGACCTACTCCCCCCTCCTTTACTGTTTACATTTCGACAGCAGCCTCAGCGAGGTCCTTCCTATGTCCACGGCCAGTGTCTTGTGTAACCTCTTTGCTTCTCATTTCTTTTTGTGATCTCCTGCCTGAATTATCATTCTTACCCTGGGTACCACATGTTGTTGTACACTGTGTTTTAAGCCAATACTGCTACCTTCACACTGAGCCTGCTACCGCTCTGCACGTAAGACCCTTTAACTCCTGATGGAACGTAACATTCCTTCGTTTACAGCTGTACACAGTGGGGTGTCGAACACAGCTCTCTAGAGCAGTATCTGAGACGTCCCTCTTCACAAGCTCCTATAAGGCTGGCACCCACTTCTTAATGATGTCAGAGTCACCATTGATGTGAATCTCACTTTCCCACATCTCCTTACATGTAAAGCAAATGAGGGAGGAACTGAGGGGCCTTGAGTAGTGTTATCAGACAGAGAGACCTAGGGTCTGTCAGGGAGGAAGGGCCTTGTCCACAAGTGAAGCATCATAGAATCCCTACACTGTGGGAACAGGCCATTCGGCCCAACAAGTCCACACCGCCCCTCCGAAGAGGACCATCCCTCCCAGACCCATTCGCCTACCCCTGCATTTCCCCATGTCTAACCCACCTAACTTAAACATCTACGGGCAATTTAGTGTAGCCAATCCACCCTAACCTGCACATCTTTGGGCTGTGGGAGGAAACTGGAGCACCCGGAGGAAACCCACACAGACACAGGGAGAATGTGCAAACTCCAGACAGACAGTCACCCGAGATTGGAATCAAACCTGGGTCCCTGGTGCTGTGAGGCAGCAGTGCTAACCACTGAGCCACCGTGCCGCTCTATGTGTAAAGGTCACATGGAAAGGGGAATCTGATTGGCTTTCTCCACTGTAACCACATGTAACTCCAGACTCTCATCAATGTGGTCGAATTTTAACGGGGGCAATTAATGCTGACTCAGCCCGGGGCACCCACATCCCAAAAACACATCAAACAGTGACTGTGTGCCCCCTGAATCACAGAAATGACCACAGGCCCCGCACCCACCCTTTCCTGCACTTCCTTACATGTAAAGCAAATGAGGGAGGGACTGAGGGAGGATGAGGGGCTGAAGGAAGGTGAAAGGTTGAGTGAGGGTGAGGGGCCTTGGGTAGTGCTATCAGACTGAGAGACCTAGGGGCTCAAGTACATCACTCTTTAAAGTTTGTGTCACATGTAGACAGGGTGGTTAAGAAGGCGTTTGGTGCGCTCCCCTTCATTGCTCAGATGTTTGAGTATAGAAGTTGGGAAAGTCACGCTGAAGTTGTACAATACATTGATGAGGCCTCTTCTGGAATACAGTGTCCAGTTCTGGTCACCCAGTTATAGGAAGGATATTATCAAGCTGGAGAGGGTTCAGAAAAGATTTACCGGGATATTGAAAGGAACGGAGGGTTTGACGTATAAAAATAGACTGGAAAGACTGGGACTTTTTCACTGGAGCATGGGAGGTTGAGAGGAAACCTTGTAGAGGCTTATCAGATAACGAGGGGTATACATAAGGTGAAGGCAGGTGTCTTTTCCCTAGGGAGGGGGATTTCAAGACAAGGGGGCATATATTTTTAAGGTGATAGGATAAAGATTTAAAAGGGACATGAAAGGCAATTCTTTTACATAGAGAATAGTTTGCATGTGGAATGAGATTCCAGAGGAAGTGGTGGATACAGGCACAGTAACAATGTTTAAAAGTTCATGAATAGGAAAGGTTTGGAGAGATATGGGCCAAACCCATGCGGGTGGGACTAGTTTAGTTTGTGAAACCTGGTCGGTGTGGATGAGATAGACTGAAGGGTCTGTTTCCATGTTGTATAACCCTTATGACTCTATGAATGAGGGACTGAGTGAGGGTGACGGAAACAATATTATTACCTGCCTGAGCGACGCAGGGTGAAATTTAGAGAGTGAGTTTTAGGAAGGCATTGTGGGAGGAGGAGGGGTTTGGGAGGTGGAGGGGCTGTGGGAGGGGGCTGAGGGGATGAGGTTTTAGGGGATGGGTGTATGGGAGGGGTTTGTGGGGGAGGGCTCCTTTAAGGAGAGATGTAAACCAAAACGATTTGAGGAAGGTTTTTGAGAAGAGGTTGTGGTTTAGGAATGGAATGGTTAACAATTGATGAAGAGAGTGGAAAATGTACAAAGCGACCCTGAGTGCAGCTTTCATCTGAGATTGGTGAGGAGTCAGCACTGAGTCTGCGAAATCCCTGGGACATGGAACAGTTTACTGGCTGATAACCCTGATTCCATTTAAAAGGTGCCATTAACTAGGGGTTTGAGGCTCCGTATCGAGTTAATTCATCTTTTGTAGCAGCTTAATTTTCCAAATAATAAATCTGGTTTTATTCAGGAACACACTGTTACTCAGAGGATTATCACAGACTGAGATCAGTGAAGGGAACTCTGCCTTGTCCCCGTGCTCAGCTCCACAGTCTCTGGGGTAAAAAGGAGACTGTTACAACATCTACCTTGCAGCTCGTTCCTTGAAGCAGTCACTGAAAATCTGGTTCTGTGTCTGCTGCTCAGGCCCAGACTCTTAACCCTGGGTTTTGTCCCCAAGTCGCAGCACTCTCTGTGAGCGGGGGGGGGGGTTCTGTATTAAACTGCAGCAGAATCCATCTGTGATCTAACATATACCCCGCTGAGTCAAAACATAGACAGTGACCAGGAGCAGGGATTCAGGCTAATGCCCCCCCTCTCTAAATATATATTCTCGTATATGTTACATCATTTTTGTGACATACATGAATAATGTAGATAAGAAGGTGAGTTGGGAGGGTAGGGGGGGATGAGTACATTTGCGGATGACGCAGAGATTGTCCAGATGGTTGGTAGTGAGGAGCAGGGTGTTCGGTTGGACAAGGAACCCTGAGACATTTGAGGTGTTGTACTTTGGAAGAAAGGGACAACACGAGGGAATACTCAGTGAATGGCAGGACACCAGGAAGCTCAGCAGGATGTAGGGGTGCTTTACCAACAGATCCCTGAAAGTGGCAGCACAGGTTAGCAAGGGAGTTGAAGAAGACAGATGGGGCACTTGACCTTCTCAGTCACGGTATAGACTGTAAGAACAGGAAGGTTGTGTTGGCACTGTATGTGGCATCGGTGAGGCCACAGCTGGAGCATCATGTGTTGTTCTGGTCTCCGCACTATGGGAAAGATGTGATTGCACTGGAGGTGGGGGGGTGGAGATTCCTGACCATGGGATGGAGCTATTCAGCGATGAAGTGAGACTGGATAGGGTCAGGTTGTTCTCTTTGGAGAAAGAAGGCTGAGGGTGACCTGACTGAGGTGTGTCAGATTATGACGGGCATGGACAGGATGGATAGAAAGCAGCTGTTCCCCTTAACCAAAGGGTCAGTTATAAGGGGCATCATTTACAAGTGAAAGGCAGGTGGTTTGCGGGGGATTTGAGGAAAACCTTTTCCCTCAGAGGATGGTGAGAGTCTGGAATGCACTGCCTCGGAGGCGATTTGAGGCAGGACACCTTTAAAAAGTTCTCAACTGAGCCACTTGAGATGTCATAACATTCAAGGCTAGGGGCCTAGTGCGGGGAAGTGGGAGTGGGGTGGATAGGTTTAGCCTGAATGGGCCAAAGGGCCTTTTGTGTGTGACTCTGACTCAGTCCTGGACGGTTATCAGAGGCAGGCTCACTGACTGGTGTTCCCACTGTCATTCCTGTGTTACTCCTGTTGGTGGGTGGGAGCAGGGTCGTTTCCATGGCAGATATTACAGCAGTGAGCAGACAGATGGTGCAAATAGGAGGGAATGTCATGTTCTGGCACGGTGAAATCCTGAAGTGATTTCTGATCATTTCACAAAGTGAGACAGAATTCTGAAGGTTTTCTAAAAATAGTTATCCGGTTCCTGATTGGTTGAAAGTTGGTGGGGAGTGTTCATCATTACATTTTACCATTAATTTACCATCCGCTTCAAACACTCCCAGGACAGGGACAGCACACGGTTAGGTACAGAGTAAAGCTTCCTCTACACTGTCCCCATCAAACACTCCCAGGACAGGGACAGCACAGGGTTAGATGCAGCTAAAAGGTTAACATTGCTAGAATTATTCTATAGCAACTGCATGACTGGTTACAATTTGTTTTTGATGCTGATGTCTGTATGAGATCACTAAGCATTTGTTCCACAGTGAATCATGGAGCTTTATTTTGGGTCGATTGCTGTGATGGTTATGTATGAAAATGCAAACAAAACAATATCCACTCCTGATGATTTATAGCTCTTCAGATGGAGGTCTTGGAGGTTTGACAATGCTCTGAAAGAGAGGAAAAGAAGTTTTAGCTTTCCACAATTATTTAAATTCTTTCTGTGTCTCTCTCTTTCTCAGTCTTGCCCCTCTCTGTTCCTTTCTCTGCCTCCACACACTCCTCTCTGTTTCTGTCTGACTCTTTTTCTTCTCTGTCTCTCTTTCTGTGTCCTTTTGCCTTCAATTTCCTCTGGCCTTCTCTCTCTCTCTCAGTCACCTCCCTCCCTCTCAGTCTCTGGCTCAGTCCAGTCTCTCTCTCTCTTTGTCTCCTGTCTACCCAGTTTGTCTCTCCATCTCTCTCTCCTTCACTGTCTTTAATCAGATCATGGCTGATCTCTACCCAAACTCCATTTAGCCAGTTTTGCTGCAGATTCCTCCTGAAACTTTAAATCATATCCAAAACATCGACTGACCCCAGCTTCGACAATTCTGCCAATGGGGGAGACAGTTTGAGTTTTCTAACAGCCCTTGGGGTAAAGATTTGTATTCCAAGGTCACCCTGAACTGCCCGGCCCTGATTTTAAACAAAGTTTCCATATCCAAGACCCCCCTTTCCCAGCCGCAGCAGAAACAATTCATCTCCACCTACCCCGTCAAACATTAAATATTTTCGCTGTTACACATTCTGGACCCGAATATGGAATACCTCTTAAGTTTACATGTCATCCTTGGGCAGGGGGCAGACTAATGTTCCAGTATCTTCTATTTCTAGTGTATGTAGAAACACTGAGATTACAGCGAGGGTTCACAGTTTACCAAGGCAGGAGTAAAAGATCACACTCAGATAAGAAATTGCTGGAAAAAGCTCAGCAGGTCTGGCAGCATCTGTGAAGAGAAATCAGAATTAACATTTCGACCCATTTCGGGGTTGATGCTGCCAGACCTGCTGAGCTTTTCCAGCAATTTCTGTTTTTGTTTCTGATTTACAGCATCCGCAGTTCTTTCAGTTTTTTCTTCCACACTCAGATAAAGGTTGCCCAAGAAAGCAGTTTGTGAGAGCAGAGACGTGGATACCACTAAGGTGTGGATGGGATGGGGAATGTGGTTATGGAGAGAGGTCTGGGCATCATTGACCCAGAGTTGGAATGGCCAGTCTGTATGGATGCCACACTCTGTCCTGTATTGTACACATGATGTGACAGCCTGATCGAATCAAACCAGAACTTGGCAAACAATGTGGATCTCTACTAACACAGTGTGGAGCTGGAGGAACACAACAGGCCAGGTAGCATCAGAGGAGCAGGAAAGCTGATGTTTTGGGTTGAGACCCTTCACTGTGTTCCTCCAGCTCCACGCTGTGTTATCTCTGACTCCAGCATCGGCAGTTCTTACAATCTCGAAATGGATCACTGCACTGGTTTCATTTGGAAAGGCAAGTGAGAAGATGGGAAGTTTGACTTTGAATCTTCATGCATCTGTTTGGTAACTGAGAGACTGAGTGAGCCAGCAGCCGTTAGAGCTGAACCCCTGGGCTGGTTTACACATTAATCAGGAAAGATTAACACTGGCAACATTGGAGCAGGATGAGGCCACTCAGATCCTCAACACCATATTCCTGCACTATCCCCATATAGCTTGATGTCATTAATAAGTGGAAATCTATCAATATCTGCCTTGAAGTTTACTGAATGGAGAGAATCCCTTCATTGATCTTTCCCTTTGGTCAGATTGTCACTGAACGCTCCAGTAATTATCCACAGAAAGGTTGTGAACGTAAGTTTATTTTAGACACAACTTGACTATGGATAAGAGATACTTCAGAAACTCCCCACACATGGGCTGCTTACCAGGCAAAATCTGTTACTACACAGTGACAGGGAAATGTTTACATAGCACGTTTCAAATTTCAAACCTTGACAAAACAGTTTCGATGCTGGTTTGTCAGTGAATGTGACCAATGAAGAATGGACAAGAATTGATCACATGAATAAACCATTTTATTGGTACACTGTGGGCGATTTTCTGTTTCACAGCCTGAAGGTTTCACCACTTCTGAAAGCACTGACTCTCCCGAATGTGCAGCATCATCACCCCATTTAACTGCATCATCAGACATACAACTAGCCCAGATATGAGCGGCTGTTCAACTTTTGAAGCATCGCGGCCAGCCCCAGTCTGATTGGATTTGCTACCATATGGATTTTTCACCAGAGAGAGAGAGATTGTGGGGAGCTGTCTCTGATTCAGACAGGCGCTCAATACCCTGGGTATGTGCGAAAGGTCAGAAGGCAGGGCACTTATCACAGAGAAGTAGGAATATTGTGCGCCTGACACTTTCTACCTACTGTTAATCCATAAGTCCATAAGATAAAGGAGCAGAAGTAGGCTATTCAGTCCATTGAGTCTGCTCCACCATTTGATCATGGCTGATATGTTTCTCAACCCCAGTCTCCTGCATTTTCCCCGTAACCTTTGATCCCGTTACTAATCAAGAACCAAGCTATCCCTGCCTCAACTACACTCAATGACTTGGCCTCCACAGCCCTCTGCATTTCCACAGAGACACCAGCCTCTGGCTGAAGAAATTCCTCCTTATCTCAGTACCAAAGGGTCATCCCTTCACTCTGAGACTGTGCCCTCGGGTCATAGCCTATCCTACTAGTGAAAACATCTCCATGTCCACTCAATCCAGGGTCATCTCTGCCCAACTGTGAATAATGCACTTTCCAACTGACCTCAAAGCTTCGTAGGAGAGTTACACAACAATAAATGACAGTCAGTTCCAGGAAAGTGATTTTTGATTGGAATGGACAACATGATCAACATCTGTGTGTACAATCCCAGGTCATTTGAGGCCACATCAGCGCCCAGCACAATCTCAGTGAATTATCTCTCACAGTCAGTTAGATAGCGCCTTCCTCTCTGACACCTGGGCTGTGTACACAGGATTGAATAAATCTTAACGCAGATTACAGCAAAAGTAAACAAACACCAAAAACAACCCAACATACTCAGCGTTCACTACGGCTACAGCAGGGAATGATATTGATCTGGGGAAGTTTTAGGGACTGAGCATTTTAGGAAAAACACAGGGTGACTCTGTATCTAACCCCGTGCTGTCCCTGTCCCTGGGAGTGTTTGACAGGGGGCAGTGTAGAGGACGCTTTACTCTGTAACTAACCCCGTGCTGTCTCTGTCCTGTGAGTGTTTGGTGTGGGACAGTGTAGAGAGAGCTTTACTCTGTATCTAACCCTGTGCTGTCCCAGT